CCCCCATAGGCTAGCAAGGGGGTTGATGAGCCCCTCCCCCCCCACGGGCAGTGAACGGATGTAAACCCCATTTTAAACCCTATGCATTTGTGCCTGTGTTGGGGGGGATGTTGGGGGGCTGTGTCAGCCACGGGGCCCCCACCCCCAGGAGGCAGCAGGGCGTCATGGGTGTGATGGGTGTAACATGGCACCTCTTCCTCCTCCCAGGCTGCCCTCCCGAAGGCTACGGTGCTGGACCTGTCCTGCAACAACCTGGCTGCGCTGCCGGTAAGAGGGGGCAGCCCACAGGGAGGGCAGGGCTCGGCTCCCTTGTCCTGGGGGCCCCCTGTCGGTGAGGATAGGTCGGCATCCTGGGGGGGGGCAGGCGGGTTCCCTGGGAGGGTCATGGCCCCTTCTGCACTGCAGGATCCCGCCTGGCCTGGCCCTGTGTCTGTCAGAGTCGGCACGGGGGATCGCAGCTGCCGACCAGTTAGGAAAGGAAGCCCTGTCGCAGTCTTCTCCGGGCTGTCCTCTGCTCCCTGCAGGGTGTGACAAAATGCCCCTGTCTTGCTTGGCCGCTCTTTAGTGGAGTCAATAACAGGGCGGGCGGTTCTGCTCCTGTTTGGGTTTGCAGTCGGACTTCTGCAGTTTGACCCACCTGGTGAAGCTGGACCTCAGCAAAAACCAGCTGCAGCAGCTGCCCTCGGACTTTGGGCGCCTGGTGAATTTGCAGCACTTGGACCTCCTGAACAACCGGCTGGTCACCCTGCCTGTCAGCTTTGCGCAGCTCAAGGTAAAACCCCTCTGGCAGGCAGCTACCTAAACCCTTGGGCTGCAGCCTGGAGGTTATTTTTTTTTCTTTCCTTGAAGCTGATTTATCTAGTAAAAACATTTGCTTTCTTGCCAGGACAGACCACTGTGGGACTCTGAGCAGCTGGGGACCTGCACCCCTGCCTGTAGAAACTGCCATGCTTCTATTAAAAGTCAAACCCCTGCTGGTTTCCTCTCTCTTTTGTCCACGTGGACAGTCACTTGCTGTTGCTTCGTGCCTCAATTCACTTGAATAAACAGCTCTGTTTGCATTTGCTTTTGATTGCTGGCCTCATAGGAACCTGCAGTAACTTGATCTGTTCATCTTTTCTCTCCTGTAGAATTTGAAGTGGCTGGACCTGAAGGACAACCCCTTGGATCCCACCCTGGCCAAGGTGGCAGGAGACTGCCTGGATGAGAAACAGTGTAAACAGGCGGCCATCAGGGTAAGGAAGCAGTTCTGGGCTTTATTTGGTCTTCCTCCTTGGATTTTATAGCTGTTGTTTCTCCTTTTCTGGCTTAGAGGGTGTCAGTGTGGCAGTTCAATGGCTCTTGGTCTGGAGAGGGAATGAGGAGCCGGTCCTTTCGAAGTCAGTGTTAGCTTTGCAAGACCTCAGTACTGCTCCTGTCCCTGAATGTCTAGGAAGTCATCTAAGCAGTGTGTTCAGCCAGAATTGGGAGAAGGAATGAGCCTTGAAATGCTGACCAGCAAGAAATAGGAGGTGGTCTCAGTGAAATAATCCATGGGCAGATTTGTAGTGTGGAGTACAAAAGTCTCTGGAGAAGCAGGGACAACCTGCGTAAAGGGCAGCTCCTGGGCGCTGTAGAGCAGGACAAAAATAGGTTGGAGTTTGTGCTGTCGCAGTTCTCTGCTGTTTCTGTGGAGGATTCAGTCTTTGTTTGAAAAGATGGGCAGTCGCAAAGAGCATGTAACCACCTTTCAGCAATCAGCAGGGATTGTCTCCACTGAGGGTTGCTCTGTGAGCCCCAGGTGGAGGCACTACTCCCAACACCAGCAAATTGGGCAAGTCTTGGTGCAGCCAAGCCAACAGCAGCAGCTGAGGATCTTACCCAATGGAGGTGTTGTTTAGACCAGTGGGGGCCAACCTGTTTGGCAGGTGTACCACAAATTAGCCTTGTACCTTCCCTGAGTGCCACTCTGATCTGCTGCCCTGTTTTCTGTTCCTTGACCAAGCTGCTGCTCTCCAGTCTGTTATGTGCCACACACAGGCTACCCGTGCTGCTTGTGGTGCCTGTGCACCAGGCTGGCCACCCCTGATTTAGATGTGTATCTGCTTTGTACATGTCCTGTTGGGCAACAGTTCCACACTGGGACTTCTCTTGGGTTGTGAAATGGAATCCCTGTTTTGTCACATGGGTGTTTCTCCGTTATTTGACAGCCACGTAACTTTTTTTCCTTTGAAGCAATCTGTGGTCCCTGTAGGAAGGGCTCTTGGATTCTGTGACAACTTTGTGTAATTTAAAAATGGGATGCGTGTAGTAATCACTCTTCTAATTAAGTGTTTAAGCTCTGCCCCCCCCTTAAAAAAAACTGGTTAAAGACATTACATCATCAAATCATAAGGACTGGAAGGGACCCATAAGATGTTACAAGTCTGGTCCCCTGCCATGGGCAGGAGGTAATTGGGCTCAAAGTAGCTCAGCGAGGTACTTGTTCTGCCTCCTCTTGAACCCTTCCAGGGATGGTGACTGCACCACCTCTGCTGGGAGTGTGTTCCAGATTCTAGATACCCTTACAGAAGAGAAGTTTTTCCTTTTTATATCTAGCCTAAATTTTTCCTTAACTAACTTGTGCCCATTGGTCCCTGTCCTCCCAAGGGTTGCCTTTCTGAAGAGTTGTTCCCCTACATGTTGGTGTTTGCCCCGACATACTTGTAAGCAGCTATCAAGTCGCCTCTTAGTCTTCTCTTACTCAGACTGAACAAAACCAGTTCCTGGAGTCTCTCCTCATATGGCCCAGCTGCCAGGCCCCGAATCATATGGGTGGCCCTTCTCTGTACCATTTTGAGCTTATTCATATCCTTCTTGAAGTGTGGTGCCAGCACTCATCACAGCAGGCTTGTGTATTGCCCATGGACAGATGCATTGAAGCAGTTGGGAAAGAGCTGAAAGTTGTGGTACCAGGGTAGGAGTTAGGGCTTGTCTGTCTTCCTGACTAAGACTCAAGGTCAGTCCTAGAGTGCTATTTTTCCTCTTAGCTATGTTCTGACTGTTCCCACACTGAGGTGACCATTCAAAGCACCTCCTGTATTATCTTGTCTCACCTTGTCCTCTTGGGTCTTGAAGGTGCTGCAGTATATGAAAGCCATCCAGTCAGAGCAGGATCGCGAGAGACAGCGGAGGCTACAAGCAGAGCGAGGTAGGTCCCACTATCCCTTCCACCTCACTACTGCTCTAGGCTGTGTTTGTTCTATGATGATCCCAGCTTTCAAGGATGTCTAACAAGGATTTCCAAATAGTGTGGCACTAAGCACCAATAATGTCTGAACTGGAGGTGGTGAAAAGGTTGTGATTCACTGGAGCGGAGTGGGTCTCTCAAGGACCACTTGGGAGGAAGATTTCCCACTACTGCTGCTCTTGGTGAACTGAGTCTAAATGCCTTCTTGCAGGGAGACTAACACATGGCAAAGTTAGGCTTATGTGCATGTTAAATACTTAAAGATTGTTATCTCTAAACAGTAACAAATTGCTTTGGTTTACTCTCTACATATGAAACAATATTGTCACGGTTGGTAGGGTCGGAAGGGACCTGAGCAGATCATCAAGT